AGTTTGGTGTTCTCCAGGCCATCCTTCATTTCATGGCGGAGACTTTTGTGAATGCAATAAAGTTTTGCTGTTACAGAAACATATAGGGGCAGGAACTGAGATAATAGATGGAAATATTAACATTATAAGATTAGCAGCACACTCTTGCTCTTCTCCTATCCTTCTGAGAATTCTTCAGGCCCTGTATCTCTGGGGGATTTAGTTGGCTCTAGAGTTTCCTTAACATGAGCCTATTTGAAAGTTAATGAGATTCTCATTATCTTCTGTATTTTAACGACAGATGAGAACTAACAGAGCTGCCAGCTGCCAGTAAAAACTAGTAGGTTTGCTGAATGCATGATAAATGTGTTAAAGTCTGCAACTTGAGGGCTGAAAGGAACTCTAGACATAATCCAGTCTGGAGGATCCAAAATAGAGCTGCACATCAGAATCACTCTGGCAGATTTTTAAAAAACAGATGCTAAAGTCAAAACTGCAGAGATGCTGACTTTTTAAATCTGGAGTGGAGCCCAGAAAACTTAGTCATTGACTCCAAGCCTCTCTTTACAATCTATCACTCTCTTCTGTTGTCTTACCACAGTACTCAATTCAAGAAGCTATAGAGAGAACGTACATTAAAAAATGTAATTGAATTACATCTAATACAGATTAAGAACTCATTGTTTTTACTGAAACCGTATCCCATGATATTTCTTTTGATGGAGTCTCACTCTGTCTCCCAGGCTGGAGTGCAGTGGTGCGATCTTGGCTCACTGCAACCTCCGCCTCCTGGGTTCAAGCAATTCTCCTGCCTCAGCCTCCCGAGTTGCTGGTACTGCAGGCACATGCCGCCACACCCAGCTAATTTTTTTTGTATTTTAGTAGAACGGGGTTTCACCATGTTGCCCAAGGCTCTTTGTGAACTCCTGAGCTCAGGCAATCTGCCCGCCTCGGCCTCCCAAAGTGCTGGGATTACAGGCATGAGCCACTGCACTCGGCTTGATTTTTCTTATAAGCTAGACAACTAGAGTATTATTTCATCATGTAACTTTTAAGCTTCTTTAATTTTGATGGATATGACTGACTCCTATTTGCTGGTTCCTACCTGTGTTCCAAAGTCACAGAGTAATCTGAATATCACCCTACACACACACACACACACACACACACTCTAAGAGAAACTTCTTTTTGACCTACTCTGCTGGAAAAGAATGCTCATGAACATCCTGGGGTGTTTCTCAATTCCCTATCCCAATAAAAATTTTCAATTTTCTAATTCAATGCAATAAATAATTTTGAGCACATTCTCTGGCAGATATTCTATTAGGTGAGGGATTATGTGACCTTAATTACACTGATAAAAAGCATGCAAGATCACAGCAAAAGTATGAGCTGATTATAATCCTAGCCGCCTCCATGCCCCTCACTCTCAGCTTAATATTGTGTCCCTAACATTTGGAGGATGCAATTTTAATGCCTGCATCCATTCTATTTCCAGTGCCTTTATCTCTTTGAAAGTTGCATTGAACAAATACCTGTTTCTACTCTGCCCTCTGGCTTATCCTTCTATTTTCTCTTCTTAAGATATGGTATATTTTTCTTCCTCAGCTCTGCTCCTGAAATCTAAAATGTTTTATCCTGTTCTGAATTTTTGCTTTTTGAACATAGTTGTGTTTAATTCTTACATCATTCCTTATCAGAAGAGAATACCACCATCTCTTAAAAAAAAAAAAAACCGATTTAAATTTAAAGTTTCTGCCACACAGATACAAGTAAGTTGTGTCTCAGATGACACTAACTACCTCACAGCAGTCTAGTTAATTCTTAGGTGTCATTCTGACTGGTTCCAGGACAAATTTCTTTTTGTTCCATACTCTTGTCATTGTTGATGTCTTGCTACCATGTTTGCTAAGAGGCATCATAATATAACAGTCATCACGTGATGTATGAATTTGGTCAATGCTGATCATATTATCATCACGTTAACTCAATCGTGTATAATTGGTACCATTCATGTTGAATTTATTTGCTTTTTATAATGTCCTCAAAGAGTGTTACAATTTGCCATTGAAATAAAAAGTATATGCACAATGTCCTGAATACAGAACAGCATAATACATGATAATATTCTAATTATTTAAAAATTAAAATGACTCTTTCAATGACTATCAAATAAATATTCTAAGTGGAAAGAAATCATGACATAGTTTCACCAGCACGAAATTTCTTTCCCTCAGTGGTAAATAATACTGTGCTTAACACTCACTATTATTAGAAAAGACGCTGTGCTCCTCAAAAGATTGCATTCCCCAGCTTTGCTTACAGATCAATATGACCAGATAATTTAGTACCACACGTTGAGATACATAGAATTAGAAGTCACTTGGTTGGGATTATTATTATTTTTTTTTAAAAAAAAAGGAAGAAAAAAACACTCCTTTAAAAGCCAGATTAACTGACATAGGCTATCTTCATTCTTCCTGGCTGGAATGAGTACATTCCTTATGACCATGTGAATTTGAATGCGTAAGGAGGACACAGAGAAATATGGGAGCAGCCTGAGTATTTTACACTTTGTGGGACTAAGATACCAGCCTTGGATTTCTTACCTCTAAACACCCTGGTGCATGAGAAAAATAAAACCCTCTGTCTGTCTGTCTGTCTGTCTGTCTTTCTCTCTCTCTCTCTCTTTCTTTCTTTCTTTCTTTCTTTCTTTCTTTCTTTCTTTCTTTCTTTCTTTCTTTTCTTTTTTTCTATTTTTAAGATAGATATAACTCACAGCCAATCACAAATCTCAACTCTACATATAGATTTAAATATCTAACATGAAGTGTATGAAGCCTTGAATAGCTCCCTAATGAAATTGTTTCCTGATAACCCAGTAAGAAATATTTTCCAGAATGTCATGCTCTTTTTTATTTATATAAGTTGTCTTAGTCCTTTGGTAATAAAATACCTGAGAGCAGGTAACTTATAAACAACAGAAAATTACTTCTTCTAGTTCTGGAGGCTGGGAAGTCCAACATCAAGGCACTGGCAGGTCTGGTGTCTGGTGGGGACTGTTCTCAGCTTTCAAGATAATGCCCGTTGATGCAACCTTCAGAGGAGGAACACTATTTCCTCACAGGGCAGAAGTGACAGAATGAAGGAACTTATTTCCTTAAGCTCTTTTATATGGTGTTAACCCCATCCATGAAGACTTCACCCTCAGGAATTAACTACCTAAAGCCCCTACCTCTTAATATTATTGCATTGGCAATTAAGTTTTAGCACATGAATTTTGGGGAACATTCAAACTATAGTACGAATTTTGGGGGACATTCAGACCAATACAATGCATAACCATTGTTTTAGAATATGTATAGGAGTAAATTAAAAATAAATTAACATCATCTAAATTCCCAACATTTGGATTTCTGATTGACATTTCCTAATGTAAATATTAAATATAAACATTAGATTCAAACATTTATAAAAGTAAGTCAAAATAACCTGCTGGAATGAAAGTGAATGATATAATGGTGTTCATTGTACTGTTGTACATTTACATGTTCTTTCCATTTTTTTGTAGATTTGAAAATTTTAAAATTAGAAATTATGTATACATACATATCTGTATATATGTACATGTATTCCTGCCTTTTCCAGAATATTGACAAATCCCATACTGGGAGAAATACTGGCACCTCCTTTAAGGCTTTGTTTGGAAAGCTCAGGACTCTCACACTGAAAACCAAGCGTTTAAGTCTCCATTACACTGAGCCTAGTCCCACAACTATCTTCACACACAGACTTAAAGGAATTCTTTTATTCTTTCCCTTCTGTTTCAGAAATACATTCACCCACCACTCAAGTTTAAAACTGAAATGAAAATTCTGACAATCCAGAGGTCCGTTATATTATAGGACTCATTAGAATCCTTTAAATTTTGATGAAAAAAGACAATCTGCTGCATTGAGGCAGATACCAGAAAATTTCTGCTCTCAAGTATATTCAAATTTGATAAGTGAAATGGCTTTCAACACGTTATTTAGTAATCCCGTAGTAAAGCATTAATGAGCTTGTCATCATAACTGATTACGAGTCAGTTCTGGCCAAGGGTATAATTAAAGTCTCAAATGTTTTGATTTTCACAAACAGAAATTTGTCCTCCCTTGGTGCCTTTTATCCATACTCAGAGTTCTTTGCAATTATTAGCTCATTAGTCCTAGTGGATTTTTTAATTTAATTGTAAATTAGTGGACCCTACAGAGTTAAATATAAAACAAACAATGTTAATGGCCCATTTCATGAATATATATACCAATGGCTTAACCTTTATTATCTCAGCATATACATTAATACCAATGGTGTCTTCAACTCTCCTCTGAAGCACAGTTCCATGCTTCTCACATATTAGTATTGCACAGAATTTACTTCAACCTGAAAACTAGTTTCATTTTTGTTTTTTTTTTTTTTTAACATACCCACTCCAAAGTTTAGCTTTTACTAGAATTTCTACATATGTTCAATCTTTTACTTTGGTATGTTTTGAATATATTAATATAGCAAAACCTCCCTTATATATCATGAAAAGTAAGTAGAAGATTTTGATCAAATACGCTGATTACTGAGATATCATTGTAATTATTTACCAGGGATCTTCCATTATCATTGCTTCATTCAACTTGGGAAGGAAACCACGGTCATTTTCAATGTTATAAATGAAGTGAGCCCTCATGCCCTTAAAATTGAGAAAAGATGAGAGCTATATAGTTAACAGCTGAAGTTTATTCTACCCAGCTCCCATACATCCTCCAACTCTAACTTAACAGGAGAAGCACCCTTCCCCTCAACTTGTCCCAGTGCTATCATTCCATGCCTGGTGTTGTGGCCTGCCTGTGACTCAAGCCTGACCAGAGTATTGCTTTCACCTGGCTCTGGTGATGGGTCTATGTATTAGTTTCCTGGTATTGTCTTAACAAAGTACCACAACTGGGTAGCTTAAGTAACAAAAATTTATTGTTTTACAGTCTTACAGTTCCAAGATCAGGGTGTCAGCAGGGTTGATTCTTTCTGGGGACTGTGGAAGAGACTCTGCCCCTGGTTTTTCTCCTAGCTGGTGGTTTGTCGGCAAGCTATGGAGAATGAAAAATCATCTTCAGATAGCTCACAGGGCCCTCAAGAGTGAATTTGTAAACTCTTTGTGAATTATAGGCTAAGTTACACAAATATAAACTCTCCAAATTTGATAATTGGCTTGATATTTATGTAGAAATATCAAGAATGAGAAAATATGGAAGAATGAGAGTGGAGACAGGGAGTGATGGTAGGAGATACTTACCTACCTAGAATGTTTTATTCACAAGCTTGTTTGCACATCAGAATCACGTGGAAAAAATATTCTTTAAAGAAATGAGGATTCCTGGGCTCCTCCTGTACAAGTTCTGACTCTGTAGATCTAGGCACGAATCCCGAGAACTGTATTTTTGAAAAGCTCCCTAGGAGAATCTATTACACAGCCAAATTAGGGAAACACTAATCTAAATAATTTATATAAGGGAATTTAAGAAAATTTGTTTCCTAAAACTATAAATTTTTCTATAACAGAGTTGGAAGCTTGGGCACTTTCAAAATCAAATTTCTGTATTTTCTTTTTTTTTTTTTTTCTTTTTTTTTTTGAGATGGAGTCTTGCTTTGTCGCCCAGGTTGGGGTGCAGTGGCCGGATCTCAGCTCACTGCAAGCTCCGCCTCCTGGGTTTATGCCATTCACCTGCCTCAGCCTCCCGAGTAGCTGGGACTACAGGTGCCTGCCACCTCGCCCGGCTAGTTTTTTGTATTTTTTTAGTAGAGATGGGGTTTCACCGTGTTAGCCAGGATGGTCTCGATCTCCTGACCTTGTGATCCACCCGTCTCAGCCTCCCAAAGTGCTGGGATTACAGGCTTGAGCCACCACGCCCGGCCTAAATTTCTGTATTTTCAAGTGAGAAAGGTCTTAATTTCTTGATGTATAAGGGGAAGTTTAGAATTTAATTTTCCAAATAAAAGGGGCTAATTTCATATATTTTGATCTTCCTGAAAATTAACACTAGATATCTCTTTTTTTTACATACTTGCATTTATAGACATCTATGGGCATGCTTGGTTTAAATGAAATTACTTGTTCGTTTAATTTAATAGAAAGTGTACTGAACTAATTAGCATTAATTACCTGTACAATTAAGACTTGGATTGACAATGGTAATTAAGTTGATTCTCCTTCTCAAATATGAATGTTCCCAAAGTACTCATTAACTGGTTTCGACAAAATATTCCCTAATAGATTTCCAGAATAGATACGGTATTTCTTCTGCTTTTCATATCTTCCTTTAAGAAATGATTGCCTTTTCTTCCTTTAAGAAATGATTGCTCCTTTGTGTTCCGTGTATTCACAGCTTCTTGACATTGCTGAAAATCTTGAATAAGTTCAGGTACTTAGTAAAAGGGTATGGGGTGTTCCCTTCAAACCAGATTGTCTTTATTTCTGTTTTTGATTGGCTGTGCTTTTTTAAATAGAAAAAAGGTGTCAGAAATACATAAATACATATTTTAATGAGCAAGATTGTAAATATAAATTGGCCTCTTGGTATAATGTTACTTGGATATGTTCTTTAGTTAAGGGATTTTCTGACATGATGAACTTTTTAGGTGAAAAGGGGTTCTTAGGAAGAAGAAGTTTTAATTTGTAGAATTTTAAATCATGAATTAGAAATATGAAGTTCTAAAGATTTATTTTGCTTCTCTGTGACAGAAATGTACATCTACCATGGAATATAGATAGAGAAAAGGCAATCATGTGGGTTCAATCAGACTGCAATGAAACCGATAGAAAACTAGTAAAGATTATTAATCTAAAATTTGTATTCATTTGTTTAATCATTCATTCAACAAATATTTATTTAGTATCTACTTTCCTAAGCGCTATTCTAAACACCAGGGATATATTAGTAAACAAAATAGACCAAGATCCCTGTCCAACTGGAGACTTCCATTTTATGTTTTTTGATTCTATTTTTTATTAGAAAAATTTCTGTGGTGTTACAAAGAGTAACTGAGAATTACTTATTTTTGCTTGTTTGAACAGAATATCAAAGCAGAAACACTGGAAATATGAAGCAAATTGCAAATTATAATACAGGTATTTCAGCTTCACCTTCTTTTTGTGATGATTTGTGGGGACACCCGCAATACACCAGCAAAGTATACATGGACTTATAGAAATCATCCTATATCGTGAGACTGCAGAGTATTTTCTGCACCATTGATATAATTTATGAAACCATCTAATTTGAACTACCTGAGAGAAATTTTGATATTTGGCTATGTTTCTGATATTTACAAGTCTCAAGAGAATATACTTAAAAGGATATGAGTTTTTGACTAGTAGTAAACTGAGATAAACTATATCTAAGGATCTTTGAGACATTATAGTCATTCGCAGTTTCCTAAGAAACTTAATCTGCCAAAAAGCAACTTCTTAATGAATCTAATCTAAATTATTGGGTTTCTCCAAAAACAATGATTCAAGTTCAATATCTTTTCCCTAATCTTATTTTGTCTATGGCTGCTTCTTTTGTATTTGAGAATCCCTTATTTCTTTCCCTTGATTCTTGGAAGTAGAATGTTTTATTGTATCTCATTAATGGCATTAGGGCCCTCGTGGGAGTGAGCAGTCTTGGATTTGGAGGTGTAGAAGCTAAGTGTGGTCCAGAATTTGCCTGTTCTAATAATTTGGCATATTGTAGGGTACTCTAACACCAGTATAAAAAAGAGAAACAGATAAATAAAATTCACAGTAAAAGTCTCTCTGAAACAAAGAATGATTAATGGCCATACATGTTGACCACTGTGGAAAGAACAGAACTTTAGACAAACCATTTTTTCATTCTCTTTATTTTTCCCTCCTTTTTCTTCTTTTCTTTCTCACTTCCTCCTCCTCTGTAGTCTTCTTCACCTTTGTCTTCTTGTTCCTCTGAATTAAGATAGGAGGATGGTATTCTTTGAGTTATACTTTGAGTCACATTGGAATTCCTGTAAGTGGGAAATTTGGCTTTCTCTTGTCTTTCCAAGCTGCAGTGTTGTTGTATGTAGATCATCATGCTGCCAGTAGGAACCAATTAAGGACATCTGTGCTAAGATCCAGGCCACAGGAGCATGGTTATCAGGTGGGAGCTGGGGGTGAGGATTCTGATGTGTAGTGATTATTGATTTCTGTGGTTTAAAGTACTCTCACTGTGGCTGATTTCAAGATAACATGATATAACTGAACTCAGAGTTAGGAAGAGTGCCATTTTACACTCTTATTTTCTGAATCAGCTTTATCTTTTCTAAAGCCCAGAATGAAATATTTTGGGGGTTGATGTAAAGATAGTATGTTATTAAATGAAAGAAATACAAAATTATAATATAAAAACTGCATAAGGAGTTTTACTATGAGGAGTTTAACTAAAATTGGAGGAGCTATAATAAGCTCCCTACTGGAAGAGCAGGGAACTTTTCTGGGGCTGTTATTCCTGGTGTCCAGGAATGGGCACTATTAGAGCCTTCTATTATCCAATGTTTTCCTATGTATTACCTGTAGTTACTTGCTGTTTCATTTTCCCAGACGATTTTGCCTTCCTCTTTCTTCAGGTTTAGAATTTGTCTAGCATTTGAGTGCCATCTGATTTATCAAGGAAGAAAACAGAGAGATTGTCAGGTGATATATCAATACCCTGTTGAGGATTCAGGTCCATCTGCAAATATTTTGACACTCACGTCTATAGGAGTTTCCTAAGATTATCCAAGACTGGTGGATGTTTATTTTCTCTACCTTATACAGGACCTGCAGGGACTATATCTTCTAAGGTGGGACAGGGGAACAAGAAGACTCCTTGAATTGGTACTTTCACAAAAATTTGGTCAAACTCATCTGTTATTACAAGTTTGCTGTTTAAAAAGTGGGTGTTATTGATTATTTTCTCATAAACTCCTTCATATGAATCACTAGCCTTGACAGCAATATCTTCATGAGGACTGAAAGTATGTGTTTTTCACCTAAACTTATGTTGCCCCTTATCACTGCTTTCCCTAAGTGTGACTAATTATATAACAGGACAATGAGATTAGAGGAGGAGGAAATTGAGGGAATAGCGAGCAGAGCCTCATAGAAGTAGAGAGTAGAATAGTGGTTACCAGAGGCTGGGAAGGGTAGTGGGGAGAGGGGGATGCAGAAAGGTTGTTTAAAAGAGTTACAGTTAGATAGGATAAATAAATTCTGATTTTTTTGCACATTAGTGTAACTAGAGTTAATAACAAGGTACTGTTTATTTCAAAATAGCTAGAACAAAGGATTTTGAATGTTGTCACCATAAAAAAATGACAAGTGTTTGAAGTGATGGATATGCTAATTACCCTGATTTGATCATTATGCAATGCATAAATATATCAAAACATCACACTGTACCCCATAAATATGCTCAATTATTTTGTGTCAATTAAAAACAAAATGAAACTTAAAAAAATAAAAACTAAATGTGTCATGAGACCAAAAACATGTTTTGAGTGATTTGAAGCAGATTCATGGTCTGAACAAAACACATCAATACTCTGACAATTTTAGTGTCAGGAATCTTTTGGTTCAATGACGTTTCTAAAATCTATTTAGTAACATGAGAAATGTATATGCTATAATATTATAAAAAAGTACAACACATGTTGTTACCACCTGTGATTTCCACTGATCCCTCAAACTAAAACCTTCCAAACCCCTTGTGATCCCGAGGCAGTTTCTGATGACTTAATGTTTTCAGGGAACGCAGGGCAAAGGTTGATGATCAAAGGACATCTTCAGATATCAGATACAGTCAGAGACTGTTGATGTTGGAAACAAATGCTCGGTGTGGCAAAGACCTAGCACTGAGACAGAGGTCAAAGGTTCTCTCAGCAAGGCAAATTTACTTCTGCAGGAGGGTTCGTCTGGCTTATGGAGCAATGGTGGGAGCACCCAGAACAAAGGAAAGCAGGGGTTTTTATTATCTCTAACGCAGTTCGTCCCTGTTACTGTGTCCTGCCTCCATTGGCTGGAGTTGGGCCGCACAATCTACGCTGAACCTGGTTGGCTAATTTGAAAAGTGCAGGAGTGGGGTTATACCAGTGGGAAGGCGGGGAGATCAGTTTCAGTGGGAGTAGCCATTGCAATTGGAAGGGTAATTCACAAGAATGGGTAGCAGATGTGGAATGGGGGCTCCACAGATAAGGACTGGTGGGAAGGTTGTTTACCAGGGCAGGGGGACACAGAGCATAAGGAAGTCTGGACGTGAAAGCAGGGAAAAAAGGACAAGGAAACTTAAGAGAGCTAAACCTTTGAAGAAGAGTTTCTTACTGTATTTAACAGTTGAGAATATCCATACCATCTGGGAGGCAAGAGCCAAAAAAGGTTGTTAAATATGCTTAAAAATACAATTCATCAGAGGTTTGACAGCTCTCTGCAGGTGACTTACAGCTTTAGGTATTTTCATTTTAATTTTATCCCATGTTAAATGAAGTTACTGCATTATTTTTAATGATAAAATATATGCTTATTTTAGAGGATGCAAACTGTGGAAAAAGAGAAAGATGAATAAAACCAACAATAATCTTACCTCATGAAGACACAAATGGCTAATATTTGATTTCATTTCCTTTTAGGATTTTTCATGAATATTTTTGCTCACATATAAGATCAAAAGTATTATAATATGCACAAATTAAGTTCTTACTTTGCTTAACACCATAAAAATTTCTGTTATATCTGCAAACACTAAATAAAGTTTAAACACAAATAAATGGGATCAGAGAGGGGAGAGTACACCAAAAAAAATGGGAAAACCCACTCAATTGGGACTTGAGAGCCATGGGTTTCAGTCACCATAGTATTCTTGTCTGGGAGTGCAAGTGTGGTTACTGGTTTCTCTGGATCGCAAGGATGCTGGAATGGGTAAACAAGTCAGCTCAATGAGTTGGTACAAAACAATCACCTAGAAAAGAGCCTTCTATATCATCAGTGTTTTCCTATAAAGATCTCCAGACTCAAGTCCCAGGTATTCTGATTTGGGAACAATGAGGTTCCACATTTGAATAAGAACCCCTAGTGACTGTTGCAGGAGATTCTGGAACCATGCATTGAGAAATCAATGGATGAGATGACCCTTTGCTTTCAAAAATTGTTGGCGAGGAGCTGGAAAAGTCCATAGAGAGTGGAGGATTTGCAGGAAAGATATTAAAATTGCCAGCATTGCATCTCTTAAAGTCAAGAAACCCACGCTATGTGGCACCCCAGGCGTAGCTGGTCAAAAGGCAACAGTCATACTCCTAGGAACTTTCAGTCTTTTCTACGCAGCTTGTGTTGAGCATTCTTCTCTTTCATATTATCTATTCTTCCTATCTAATCCTTTCGTACACACTTCCCATTATCTTTCAGGTTACAGTTTAGTTAGTATTAGAGTTCATATTGAAAATGGGAACTCTTGATTCTTTTCCAAGAATCTTCCCATGGTACCATCCGTCACATTTTGATTTTCAAGTTATCCCAGGCAACATCTCTTTCAAGAAGACTTTCCAAGTTTTCTAGTCTTTTCTGTGTTTCTACAGTACCTCCCCCCACCTCTGTGTGCTTACTTCTTTCATCGTATTTGTAATATAGTTATTTCACTTATCATACTTTCTCACTAGACTATCCTAGTGCCTAGCACAGTCTGTCACAGAATGCATACACAATAATGTCTTACAAATGAACAAATATGAAATCCTCTTAAGACATCTGTAGTTTAAAGGACAGTACATCTATATAGTACATAGTTTTCCCTCCTTGGTTAAGCTGTGTTTTTTCAGATGCTAATATTTTGAAGTTTCTCCTCTTGTTTAGGCAGCATTTATAGTAATTCATCTTTTCTGAAACAGCAGGAGTATATCATCTGACTCTATTACACATACATCTTGAAGCAGGATTTCTTTTTAAATGTATTTCAATCAGTTGGTCTGATTTCCATCAGAAACTGGATTTTAAGTTATTTTATCCTCTGATCAGAATAACTGCTTTGTAAAGGAAAGGAATAAAATATTCAAATAAGATGGTCATGTCTATTGACACTGTATTAAAATGTAAATGCAATGCAAACTGGAAGATATCAAACTGCCAAATAATCTGGAGCATTTCTGAGTCCAGCAGAACAATTCAAACTACTGATTTCCTCTACAGTTGCAAGTCTCTACATGCAGTTTTTTTTGAAAGGAAACTAATTGCAGAAGTGAAGCAGATATAGTCATTTTTCATGCTTGGTTATCCAATGAGGATACCCACTGGCATTTTCTTTTCTTTCTTTTTTTTTTTTTTTTTTTTTGAGGCGGAGTCTCGCTCTGTCGCCCAGGCTGGAGTGCAGTGGCGCGATCTCGGCTCACTGCAAGCTCCGCCTCCTGGGTTCACGCCATTCTCCTGCCTCAGCCTCCCAAGTAGCTGGGACTACAGGTGCCCGCCACCACGCCCAGCTAATTTTTTTTTTCTTAGTTTGTATTTTTAGTAGAGACAGGTTTTCACCACGTTGTCCAGGATGGTCTCAATCTCTTGACCTCATGATCCGCCCGCCTCGGCCTCCCAAAGTGCTGGGATTACAGGCGTGAGCCACCACGCCCGGCCCCCACTGGCATTTTCTAACGTATTTTTAGGAATATGCTTTTATATGTGGATGGATGGATGGATGGATGGATGGATAGATAGATAGATAGATAGATAGATAGATAGAATGCAAATTATTTCTGAGCCATATTTTGGGTCTCCAGGAAATCCCAGCCCCACCTTCTTAGCTTTAAGTTGTTTCCATGTATCTTTCATACAGGTCAATAGACCTTTGAAATTCTCCCTGTTTTGTTCACTTGTTAGTCGTCATTGCCCTTGGGGATACACCTCCCTTGAGATTGCTGAAAAACTGTAGAGAGCCTGTCCAGCTCCTTGCTTTCTTGTAAAATGTGGATACAAAGTTTCATAATTTAAGAATTTCCTTGATAACCCCCATCTCACTATGTTATGTGGCCCCCAGTTACCTCTTAAATTTTCTCTCTTAAATTTGTGCATTACCTCACTCCATTCCAGCTTCTTTTATCTCCTTTCTGTGCCCACCCCACCATCCACACTCCTGACTCAGGGCCATTGCTCTTACTGTCATCTCTCCTTGCAGTGTTCCTCATTTTGTCCTGAACTCAGCATAAGCCACTCCCTCACCTCCTTTAGGTTTTTTTCCCAATAGCAGAAAGACAAAGAGGCTGTTTTCTCTATTTCTTCACTCTGTCTTTCTTCATAGCACTTATCACCACTGACATATTATATATTTAATTGTTTTATATCTATCACGGGGTATCTGAATATATGCTACATAAGAACAATGACTTTAGCACTTGAAATAGTAACTGGCACATAATAAGTGCTGAATAAATATTTGTTAAATGATGATTTCAATGGGAAAACAGCTAGGCAAGTTTTGAAAAGGATAAATGATAAAGGTTCTGAGGCGTTTAAATAGTATTGAAAATGCATTCCCTAACCTTCATTCCCTAACTCCTTTGTAGACAGTTCTTAGAATCAGGGATGTTTACAGACTCACCTTTCATTTCGGAGAGGAATCCCACCACTATTTTCCACTCTTGCACATCTTTGACTTTAAAAACAGAACAGCATTCTCAGTAGGAAGGTAGATTATCAGTGCCAAAAATATTATGTATAAAAATATCATCATAAGTATATTGTTTTATAATCTGATATTACATAAGACTAATACATGAGTATCCCTCTGTCAAACATATTCCTTGTATGGCTTTAAAGAATGAAATAATGTCCTTGATAAATACCCAATATTTGCACATTTAAATTGTGTCCAATTTTTTTTTTGGTCTTCTAAATTATAACGAGATGTCCATTCATGTAAAGAAATCTGTAAATTCATTCATAGCTCCTTCCATTGGATAGCTTCCTAGATGGAAAATTGTCATCTCACAAAGCATTGCTTTTTTTAAAGCTTTTGAAGAACACTCCAAATCTCTTTCCAGAAACACAGTAGCAATTTACCAGCAGTGCAACAGCATGACTTATGGTATTTTTGAAAACATTATTTATTATTGTACCTTAAAATATTTGTCAGTTTGGTAGGTGAAAACTTGTTCATTTGCATTCTTTGGCTACTACTGAAGTTGAAAATTTTAATATGATTCTTGACTATATATTTTCATTGTGACATATTCCTTCTTCCTTCTTCATCTTTTCTTGAAGTGAATTTAAGAAATTTTTATGTACATTAAGACTATTAAATCTCAGTCACATGTGTGCAAAGATTTTCTCATTTTTTTGGCCATTTATATAACTTCTTCATGATAAACTCGATTCTTTATTTTTTCTACTTTTTCTCATTGGATTTCAGGAAATATATATGTACAGGTGGATATACATATATAATGATCATTATTTAAGAGATATTTCTCCTTTTCTTCTTCATTAAATTTTGTTTCTGTGTATTCTTTGTTTCCACTCAAAATTATCACTATATTAGTTCATTTTCATGCTGCTGATTAAGACATATCCCAAACTGGGAACAAAACGAGGTTTAATTGGACTTACAGTTCTGTATGACTGGGGAGGCCTCAAAATCATGGCAGGAGATGAAAGGCACTTCTTACATGGTGGTGGCAAGAGAAAAATGTGGAAGATGCAAAAGCAGAAACCCCTGATAAATCCATCAGATCTCGTGAGACTTATTCACTATCACAAGAATAGCACGGAGAAGACCAGGCTCCATGATTCAGCTATCTCCCTCTGGGTCCCTCTCACAACACGTGGGAATTCTGGGAGATACAATTCAAATTGAGATTTGGGTCGGGACATAGTCAAACCATATCAATCACATGCGTTTATTGTTTCTGAAATTCAGTGATATTTGCTTAGGATGTTCTTTCCATAAACATATTTTGGTGGATTTTTAAAGAAATGTTAAAATCTTTCAACAATATGGAAATTATTTTGGTGTAATGATTAGCTGGTTGCCCTATTATTACATTTATTAGTTATCCAGTCTTTCCCTGCAGATCTCATGTCACCTTTATTATATAACAAATTATTTATATATACATAGTTCTATTTCTTGACTTTCTATTCATTTCATTATTCTGTCTCTTCCTACACTAGTATCACATCATATCAGTTACTGGTGCTTTATATAAATCATTTTATTACCCTATAGGGCAAGTACTCCTTTATCATGTTTTTTTATTTTGTTTTGTTTTTTACATTTTCTTTGTGTTTTTCTTTTCACGTTTTCTTACATTAGTCTCAAAACAATTGTTCTTTCAAATGAACTTTATGATGAGTCTGGCACAATGCTCCCCCCCCAAAAAAAATCCCAGTAAAATTGCCTTGCATCATGTCATCATAATTTGTAAAGAATGTTCATGTCTACAACGTTTCCTTATCTAACATATAACATATCTAAAAGCAATAGTAACAAAAACCACTTAGTGCCTGCCTGTAGGGCTGCAAGTGAATGCGCGCTCAGTGGTCCGCAGGCTCCATTGAGATCAGACACTGCGGCCTAGCGCTTTCTTCCCTGGCAAAGCCCTGCCTGATCCGGCCTTCGGGTCTCCCCTAGCAGCAGGTAGGGCTTAGGAGGGCAAGACCCGCCTGAGTGGTGCCATGAACCTCTTACTGTGTAATCCCCACCGCAACCAAGGGCACTACCCCTGCTTCCACATGGACCACGGATGCGTATACATGGAATGGAAACTGGATTCCAAATCTATAATGCTGATCCATTAAAAGAAGAAAGAGAGGACAACAAGAATTTTTAGAAGGAGGAGTTGGCCATGTTGAAATGTTATTTTGCCGTAGCTATTTAGCTTGCTTTAGTGGCCGGTGGGAAAAAGCTGAAAATAGCCTCCTGGTAAAGTGACAATCTGGGATGATCAGAAAAAGACTGTTACTGAAGTGAAAGTTTCTACAGAAGTTAAGGCGGTCAAATTGTGACAAGATAGAATTGTGGTCGTTTTGGGTTCCTTGATTAAGTTATTTACAAGGATATGCAGTGTCCATCAGTCACACGTCTTGGAAACCTGCTCTAACCTTAAAGGCCTTTGTGCCTTGGGTCCCAGTAGATATTAACAGCTCTCTCCCGACCTCCCCCATCACACACATTTGTTGTGTGAAGCTTGTGGTCTTGCACCAAGAAGCCACCTGTAGACCTTCTTGCACACAAGGGCGTCCTAAACTGGTGGCCCTCGACCTGTAGGGAACAAGAATTGCAACCACATCTTAAAAAAACAGACCGTTGTAAGAATATTTGCTACCATATCAGGGCCTTTTATCCAGGAACTATGAAAAAGATCGCAAGTGGCAAATATTTATCGCATCAACTTCAATTAGGAAGCTTCCCTCATATGAGTATCTGATGACCATGGCAGAGTACATATTTTTTTTTCGCTGCTGAAAATCCAAAAAGTTCGGTGTTCAAACTAGAGCCAGCATTCTTCCAGAATACTTCAGTTCCAAGTGGAATTTTTCCAACTATCAGATTCCTTCCGGTTTGCCATGCATTTGTGCCTTTGGAACAGAGTCAAATGCTGTCATTGTGATTTGTGCATATGGCATCTACTACAGATTCCTATTCAACCCCAAGGGGGTGCATCCAAAATGTCTAAGTGCAGTTTCTAGCAATGACCAGTGACAAGCTGTGACTCTTTACAAGTGTGTGCAGTCAACACCCCACGCCTGATTGCCTCTGTTAAGCACTGACTATGCCCCTCAAACTGCTCTGGGGCTGGAATGTTCACCGTGTGGGGAACAGGTTGGAGAGATTGCCCTGGGTGACTCTTGGTCTTAAAGCCATATGTCGCTGTTTGCTTTCTTAGGGAAGCTTTCTTATTTCCAGTATTAAGAGGAAAATCATCAAGGCAAAGTAAATATTCAAGTGGCTTCGAACAATTTGTGCCTGATTGTTGGCTTGTTATCTTTACTTCAACTGTGAAGTCCAGGTTTTGCCGTTCCAACCGCAATCTTTATGCTTAAGATCTGGGGGCTTCCATATGGACTAAGGGGCCGGTTTGAGAGAATGATAAATAAATTGAAATTTGTCCTTGGCAACAGATTGTCATTTTATCGAGTCTACAGTAGAGCATGAACAAATGTGAAAATATTAGTTGTTACAATATAACAAGATTTAAACAGCATAATAACAGCAACTTGCCTTAGAACAGGAGCAACAAATTCCTACTCTAGTCTGAACATGAAGAACAAAGACATAACTATGATAGTGTGTCCAGAATTGGTGGTTTCTTGGTCTCGCTGACTTCGAGAATGAAGCTGTGGACCCTTGTGGTGAGTGTTACAGTTCTTAAAAATGGTGTGTTCAGAGTTTGTTCCTTCAGATGTTCAGATGTGTCTTAAGTTTCTTCCTTCTGGTGAGTTCATGGTCTTGCTGACTTCAGGAGTGAAGCTACGGACCCTGGTGGTGAGTGTTACAGCTTTTAAAGGTGGCTGGTCTGGAGTTATTCATTGTTGCTGCTGGGCTCCTGGTCCTGCTGGCCTCAGGAGTGAAGCCGCAGACCTTCGCAGTGAGTGTTACAGCTCATAAAGGTGGAGTGTCTGGAGTTGTTCGTTCCTTCCGGTGGGGTCGTGGTCTCACTGTAGAAGCAAGGCGGCAGACCTTCACAGTCAGTGTTAAGCTCTTAAAGGTGGCATGGACCGAAAGAGCGAGCAGCAGCAAGATTTATTGCAAAAAGGAAAGTAACAAAGTTCCAGGGCGTGGAAAAGGACCAAGTGGGTTGCCACTGCTGGTTGGGGGGGGGAGGGTAGCCTGCTTTTATTCCCTTATCTGGCCCCACCTACTTCCTATTGATTGGTCCATCTTACAGAGAGCTAATTGGTCCGTTTTGACAGAGCGCTGATTGGTGTGTTTACAAACCTTTAGCTAGGCACAGAGCGCTGATTGGTGCATTTATAATCCTTCAGCTAGACACAAAAGTTCTCCAAGTCCCCTACTGACTAGCTAGACACAGAGCGCTGATTGGTGCATTTACAAACCCTTAGCTAGACACAAAAGTTCTCCAGGTCCCCACCCCACGCAGAAGCCCAGCTGGTTTCACCTCTCAATGGCACTCAACCCAGGACTTTCCGTCACCTAGCCTAGGTACTCTAGCAGCCCAGAGGGAGTTTGTATCCCAGCAGGCTCCCGCCAGCCAGGAGGAGTGTGGGGCCCACGGAACCCACGCCCACCCGGAACCGGCACAGGCATGCCAGCGCTGCAGCTCCAGCCACAGCCTCTCCCTCCACACTTCCCCGTGAGCAGAGGGATCCGGCTTCGGCCTTGGCCAGCCCCAGAGAGGGGCCCCCACAGCACAGCGGTGGGCTGAGGGGCTCTTGGAGTGCAGCCAGAGCGGATGCTGAGGCCGCGTAGGCGCTGAGAGTGAGCGAGATCTGCCAGCATGTTGTCATCTCTCAATAGCAAACACAGTGTAGACATTGTACTTTGTGTAAATTCAGCATTGTGATTTTTTCAATGCTTGTCGTTTTGTTTGGTTTTGTATGCATACATTCTGGTGTGTCGCTGCTTCTGTGGTGTAACTGTTAGAACCACAGCAAACAACAGATCTGTTACAGGAAAGGAGTCCAGATCCAGACCCCAAGAGAGGGTTCTTGGATCTTGCACA